GGAAATTGAAAGGGAAGCAGTACTCCCAAAGTCATTCTTGGAAACAGGAGTGATTACCCAACCATAAAAGGACCTGACCAGGAAGGAGAACTACAGACCCAGCTCTTTGATGAATATAGATACAAAAATACTCAATAAGACACTGGCAAACAAAATTCAGCAAATCATCAAAAAGGTCATACAATATGACAACATATGATTCGTCCTAGGGATGCAGGAAGGGTTTCACATGTGCAAATCAATAAGTCTAATATTTCTCATAAACAGATGCAAGGTCAAAAATCACATGCTCACTTCAGTAGATGCAGAAGAAAGCATTTGACAAGATTCACATTTGTTTATGGTTATAAACCCTGATAAAGGTTATGACAAACCCTGAAGAGAATAGGAAGAGAAGGTTCATATATGTATCTGATAGAAGCCATCTATGACAAACCAATGACCAATATTATACTAAATGGAGAGAATCTGAAATTTAATTGACAATAAATACATGAAAAAATGCTCAACATCACCATCCATTCAAGAAATGGGAGTTAAAACAATACTGAAATTTCATCTCCAGAAAGAATAGCTATCATCCAGAAATCCACCAAAAACAAATGCTGACAAGGTTGTGAGGAGAAAAGAATACTTCTCCAATATTGGTGGCACTATAAACTGATATAACCACTATGGAAATCAGTATGGAAATTCCTCAAAAACCTAATAAGAGGAATACTATTTGACCCAGTTACTCCCCTTCTAAATATTTCCAAAAAGAATTGAATACAACATACTACAATGATTTATGCATACCCATGTTTATAGCAGCACGATTCACAATAGCTAAATCCTGGGAACAGCCTATATGTCCACCAACAGATGACTAGATAAACAAAATATGGTATTCATACACACTGGAGTATTATACTGTAAAGAAAGGTAAATTTGAGTCATTTGTAGGTAATAAATGTACTTTGAGATGATAACTTTAAGAGAAATTATGACAGACAATAGAGAAAAGGAGAGAAAAAATGCATTGTAATTCAGGGGACAATGTACTTAAAAGTGTACCTTGATAGTATAATAGTCTTACATGTTTTATATGTTCTCTGGCCTGTTAGTCTAGTTTTCAATCTGTGTATATGATAATTAACTTATAAGGTCTTATAAATAAATGAATGTGATGCTGGAAAAGTAAAAAGGGATAGAGGGAAGGGGGAAAATAATTGAAATGTGTTATTTCCATGTATCAATCACCAACGGTAAATGCAATACTTAGGTACTGCAAACATGTACTAATAAAAGTAAAGAAAAAATATTCAAGCCTGAAAAAAGGCATCAAAATAACATACAAACCTTAAAAGTTCAGGATCAAAATATGTTGGCAGATGATTCCTTTGGGCAGATTACAATGAATATAATTAATGACTTTTAGTACCTATTGTTAAAATTTGAATACTTTGAGACTAACTTATCATTTATAAACTGCATTTGTTTAATACTTTTAATATGTCTTTATGCAAATATATGTCTAGATCACAAATTTAAAGCCTTTACCTTCAACTTCTATATATATATTGACCTAATCAGAAATGTCTCTACTTACTACAATGAACTTTTCATCTTAATTGGAGCTTTACAAAGAGCAAGATTTCTGTATATAGACAGGATATCTCATTAGGGAGGTGACATTTCCATTTTTATTCTGCATAAGTACATGAAATAATCTCAGATGACTTGCAGCATTGTTTAAAGTTCACAAAAAATGATCTTTAAGGAGATATTAACTATAATTCATTTAGTTATGTATGTGTTCATTGTCATAACCTATATGATTTCAAAATAGCCTAAGACATTTATGTAGTGAAAATAAGATGGCTTTCTCTGTAAAATGCTTTGTCACATAGAAAATATTGTTTGGTTTATTCCTCATGATAAAATTAGAGAGAAAATAGGATTGAATATTAAAGAATAGTTGGTAAACTTACTTAAATTATTAAGAGCTTTCCCTTAATTAATGACTATATTATGTGACTAGTGCCACCTTATGATTTTACATTTATTTACCACATACAAAAGTATATTAAAAATTTTTGTTAATACATTTTCATGATCATTTGTTGTTAGATATATACATTTGCATCTCTTTGTTTCTTATCTCATAATTTTCCATTTCCTGCACAGCTTGATGTTTTTCTGGGCTGATAGAAATTTTTTCTTGAAAGACCAGCATATTTAAAGTATTAATTATTCCAGTTTTCATTTTATCCAATATTTTTATTTGTTAATTTCCTCCAGTGTTAGACAAATGTATGTAAGAGGTATGCTCAGAAAATACAACAAATTGTACATCAAAGGAATCTTATTAAAATCACAGACTAGTTAGGAAACTTGGAGTGTTCTTGGTTTATAGGAAATAACCCCTTCCCCTGGGTTTGAGCCCCATGTAGGAATATTTGGGTACTAAGCTACTAGTTCATTCTCACAGATATTACTCTTGAAGCTTTTCAAAGTAAAAGGAAAGAAAAGGCCAATTTATTTTTTGTTTTTTTGGTACCGGGGATCAAACTCCGGTCCTTGCCCTTGCAAAGCTAAATCCCCAGCAGAAAAGGCCAATTTAGCCAGAAACTTTTGACTTCCCTAGAAGGTTCTCATTAATGCATGGGTGCCTGGACTCTAGGTAAACTGTATCAACCCCATACTCATTCACATCTGAGAATCCTGCAAAATCACCCACAACCTGCTACACAAAGCATGCCAGGTGTGCTCCTCCCCAAGCCATGCCTGAGTGTGCATCTCTTTAAATATATATATATATGCTTTCTCCTCTTTAATAGTACGTTTTTTTGCTTGTTTTGGATATTCACAGTGTGAAACTAGAATAGATTCTATGATCAACAAATGCCCACCCATGCCTCCTCAAAACTCTGGCTACAGTTTGGCTATAATTGTAAACAGACCATGTGTGACAATGCCCTTCCCTGTGCAGAGTGGGGAGAGAATTGTCTCACCTACGAACAGCAGAGACAGGAAATGCAGCATTTATGCAGAAGCCAATGCAACCAAGATCGTTTGGTAGGGGCTCAGAATGCAATTTGAGGGTTCTCTCCACGCTGCATCCTCCACGCTGCTCCCTGAAAAGGAAAAGATCAGTGATGTACGAGGTGGCATAGAGTGATTTTCTCCACCATGATGTTGAGCCTGGCCCAGGAGTTCATGAAAATATTCTCCCTCAAAACAGTGGTGAAAAGCAATGCAAAACCAGCCTCTGTGAAATTTGGTGAAATCCTGCAGACACAAATCAATCTTTAACATTTAACACTGGTGGGAAAAAATCAGATGAGTGTTAATTAATGACAGGGAAAATTCATATCGATCATGAAGCAGAGATCAGATAACCACATAGTTGTGAACCACAAATTATCCAGAAACAGACTCAGCAAGATTCTGCTGTTCCGGGGCATGGTAGTTCATCCCGAGAGCCATTTAGAGTGGCCCTGGGAAGAAGCCGATGTACTACACGTGCTACGCTGAGCACCACGGGGTGGTCACTTCCAGAGACCAGTAATAGCACAAATGACAAACAACAGGACCCTAAGACAACTTTGGTCACTGAATAAGGTCTCCTCCCCCATCTTGCACCCTGTGATAAAGAATAATACAACGCGGTGCTCTTGCTTTGGGAAAAAAGAGACGACCAGAATGAAGATAGAGAGATATAACTCTGCAAAATAATGGCAGGGAATAAAAACAGAGTCTCCCTATTGTGCATGGCTTATGCAGGCAACAGGGCTTTTAGGGTGTTGCCCTTCTGGCTCCCACTGTAGCTCTTTGAGAGGCATTAGTTGTTTGTAGCTGCTGTTTTCGGATGGATTCCTATGATCAGCAACCCACCTCAGAGTGCGGGATTTTCAGAAGCGGAAATCTTTGCCAGAGGTGCCATGGGAAGAGCTCTTTGTGCAGCTTCGCCTTTAACTTTTCTCTGATTGCTTCCTCTTGGTATTTCTGTTACACAGCTATGAGAAATGGGAGAGGTGTTTAAAATGCTTCTAACACTAGTAATAAAATACTTAGATCTATACACTTTAGCGAGATCAAGAGAAGTGCCTACACTTTTTTTAAAAGGTAAAAGCGTTCCTTTTTCTTCTTCCTTCTCCCTCTTCTCCTTCGCACTTCTTCCATTGTGTTGTTGGGAGGGAGGCTGTGCTGAGGGCAGAGACCGGTGTGTGTTCTCCTGCAACCAGTGATAATCACCCCCAGTCCCAGGCAATGTTTGTTTCATGTTTCTTTGGGTGTAAAATGGCTTGGCTCCTGCTTGATCCTGTCCTGAATGGGTTAACGTGCAGTGAAGGCAAAGTTAACAAGGAACACAGCAGAAATGGCTCCAGCTGTGTATAATTAACTGTAATACTGCAAAGTAAATGACTTTTATTGGCAACCGTGTCATAACTTCATTAAAAGTCATATTTACAGCCCTCTCCTATGAAATGAGTTCTCCTGTATTCTGGAATTTAATGAGCGTTCATTTTCACCTTGTTCAATTATCTTCTCCTCCCCCAACCTCTCTTCCTCTCCCTGGTGTGGGAAGTATGGAACAGAAAGACAAAAGGAATGCAGTTAGCACCAGAAGCAGGGCCCTTCTGGAGGGAGCATTTCCCAAACCACAGCAAAACTGTTTCTCCTTGTCTTCAATTCCAAATAGGTAACTTCCCTACACAAAAACATTAAGTAACAATCATAGAAACACCAAACTGACTTGATGTGATGCTGTCAATGGTCAGTTCTCCGAAAAGGGGTCACGTCTAAACCAATCAGGAACAAAGTCTAAGCATGTCAAGCGCGAAGGCAAAGTGAGTAATGATCACAGTGACCAGGACAAAACAAAAACGAAACAAAGCCAAACACAGCTAACAACAGACTCAATATCATACCTGTAGCCCTCATTATCTGAAAGTATATGTCCTATTTTTTTCTCCTTGAGTGGTATAACTAATTAAATCTTTTTTCCTCCTCAGTTCTATTTCCCTCCACTCCCCTCGCCTCTCAAGATGTTCAGGAAATACCTGTGAGATCCATGAAGGAATCTAGGAACTTGGTCTCATGATGTGCCATCAGCTTCTACTGCATGTCAAGTGTCTGCTTAGGGTCTCTAGGTGCTCGGTACAGGGGAGTTGTGACTGTGGAAATACAATATCAAGCATGTTCTGTTGTGGTTGTTGTTGAAGTTCCAGTTGATGAACTATTGTGGTTTAAGGTGGAACTCAATGTTTGCTCGTATGAATATTGGGAAAGATGAGAACTGTATTTTAATTCCCCACTAGCACCACAGCTTCAGAAAACTTAGCCCAACCTTCCTGAAGATCCTTCTCACATGAACAGTATCAACGGCTGTCTTTTTATGGCCCTGTTAGTTCTGAATAAAATCATATGCTGCACATGTTCTGAGGGGAAGACATTCATTCATACGCTCTCAGTGTTCTCCCTCCCTCCCTTCTTCCTTCCTCTTTTACTCCTCCCTCCATTTTATTTCTCTCCAGGAGTTTATAATTTCCCTGTATCTTATCTTTCACAAGATAAAACATTTGACCTTAATGTTTCGGCCTCTTGATTCATTGAGAACTACTCTTGACAAAAAAAAAAAAAAAAAAAAATGCATGTTGGCTGACAAGCCAGAATCTATAAAACAGATCTGCTTACTGTAAAAGGGTCTCCTGAAAGGTAATGGTGCCTCACTCAGGCTGGAAAGTGGCTGGCATTGAACATGAGGTCATCTCACCGCCCAAGACCCCCTGGGTCTCAGGGCTCAGAAAGGGGTAATGTTCAGGGAGGCAGTGCCCAAGAGCCCCTCAAGCACAGCTAGCTCTTACGTTTGTGGATATAAGATGCCCTTGGAGGCTGGCATCGTTTTAAGCAGAGTGCCACACGCCAGGGAACATATTTTCCTGCCAAGCTTGCAGTCTTCGGCAAATTCCACTCATGCTTCTGCCGCTGTGCTCAGTCCTGCTGCTTTATCTGATTCTAGGCTGACCCTTTATAATTAGCTCTTCAGGCTGCAGGTATGTTTAGGATCACTGTTCCAGCATGCAAGTGGGATCTCAATGAAGCTCAGAAATAAAATGAGAGGAACACTTTCTAATGGAGCTTTACTTCTCTCTCTCTCTCTCTGTCTCTCTCTCTGTCTCTCTCTCTGTCTCTATCTCTCTGTCTCTCTCTCTTAAAATTGAGGGTCAAAATTCTTCACTGAGTTTTAACTGGTATGTAAAGAGCAATTACACATTCTAAAAGACCTCAATCGAATAAAATAGAGCAGACAATAGGAAAAGTAGGATGATAAAGGAAAGTATAGTACAGAGGGTCTTCGTTTAATGACTAAGTTTCAATCCTCTGGCTGCATCACTGAATTGTTCTTTAAATCAGGAGTTGTATATGGTATGCACATTTCAATATTTAGAACAAAGAAATAATCAAAAGAAACTCCAACGACATGACTTTGCTTTTATTTTCATAACGCTTATGTGCAGCCCTGTAGTGTATAATAGAACGTCACAGTGCTGTACAGTACAGCACAATCAGCAAGAATTACAGCGCTGCACTGTAGAAAGAGACACCAGGAGGCTGCGTTGCCACTCGCCTGTGTCATAAATGTGAGTAACTATTAGGTAAATGGGTCACTAAATGAGAACTGTCCTGCAGGTTCGTGAAACAGTATGTGTATCGCGCATGTGTACGCATGCGTAATACGGCACAGTACGCCTACCCCTTCTAGAAATCACTGCAGAACGGGTATGTGGGCAGCCCAGGCTCAGTTAGCACCAAGGATGGGGCATATGGTCTGCTCTTCAAGGGGCTCTTTGCCTTCATCTTCCTCCTAAGCAACATGAGCCCAGCAGCAGAAGAGCAGGGCTAATGCAGGCAAAGCAATGAGGATCTCATTCTTACTGTCTAGCTGTCCGCTGTCCCATCTCCCAGAGGCTGAACTCTCAAGGTGAGGCAATTCCGTAAAGTGTGAACATGCTCTTTAAAAGTGCACTCCAGGAGGAGAGAGGAAACAGGTAGGAGCAGCATCAATGACGGCGCATCCCACTCAGACCCTTGGGTTTCATCCACGCAGTCTGGCACGCTGTCGGAGCAGGCACACAGATCTCAGGCAGAAGTCATAGGATGCCCTTGCACATGTCCAGACAGATGGCCGGCAGCGGAGGCATCTGCTCCCATCGCAGCCAGGAGGGGACACACAGAGTGTCCTCTGGAATCTGGGACAGATTTTGTAGCCATTTGTGACTCCCCACTGCATAAGCAACAGCTCCCTTGTTTGTCTTTTCTCTTTTTCCCTTCTTGACTTAGTGACTTTCAAGTGCCATTTAGTGAGAAAAGAAAGAAAAACACATATACAGTTTTTTTTCTTTTTATAAAAGAGTAAATATGAGAGTACATGGATAAAAAGAACAGAACAGAGAAATTGAAAGGGAAATTGGGCAGAAAGGTGAAAAAGACAAAGTCCGAAGGCAGCAAACTTATCTAAATTGTGTTCCACTACTTGTTTCTTCTTGGTCTGTAATGTGATATTGGACATTCTGGAGTCCGGCCAATGATTTTAAGAAATGCACCTAGCTCATAGTGCTGCTACAAGGATTGAATGACTAATCGATGGAGCACATCTACAATGTGCAAGACGTGTTGTGAATAGCTGCTTTTATAAGACGAGGAGGAGAAAGGAGGCAAAAGTTTGACTGAAGAGGGCCAGAAACAGCATAAAATAAAATGAAACACATGCAGAAGTCTTTGAGCTTTTAGACTAAGAAGAGGACAGGGCCAAGAGCAGGTGGAACAATATGACATTCTCTGGCTTTTTTGTTCAATGCCATCCTAGGATCTGCAGTGAAGGTAATTTTTAGGTACCACCCATGTAAACACACACACATTAGTACTCTTTGAGTAAAATACATTACCCTCCGCATTGTTGGTAGGCTTTTGCAGTCAGTTTCAAGAGAAAAACTGAAGTCCCTCCAAAAGGAAGGAACTCTGTTTCCTGATGACCTCTGGACTAAACATCAGTGCATGAACACTTCCTGGGTCTCTAGCATGCTGGCTTGCCCTGTAGTGTTTGGACTTGCCAGCCCCCACAACTACATATGCCAGTTTCTTAAAATTGGTCTAATTGAACACACTTACATATATTCTTCTGGGTCTGTTACTCTGAGAACCCTGTTATAACTCCCAAGGAATTGGACAGAGCCCTGATCAGGGAATGAGCAATAGGTGCACAGATCATTTTCAAAAGTACTGAAGGCCACTGACTGGTGTGCATGCTCTCCAGCCCCTGCCTTGAATGGCAATAGTCACAGTTATTGATAACCTCTTCTCTGTCCTACTATTGTTAGCTCACTTGCTGTGTCAGGCATAACTTGTCTGAGTTCACATTTCACCAGATGATATTCACTTGAAGATATTCACCTGAGAAGCTTTATTCATCTACTGTAATGGGCATGGAACACCAGACATGCTACCACTGAGGTATATCCCCATGACAGCCAGTCTCACTAAGTTACATTGGCTTCAAACGTGTGATCCTCTTGCTTCAGCCTCCTGAGAAGCTGGTATTACATGTATGTATGTACCATCATGCCCTCGGTGAGATGGTTCTTCTTCACTTGGACTTGATTTAGATGATAAGGTCCTATATTTTACTTGATGCCCTGATGTGATGAAACTTAATGATCTCAGAAGGGGGAGAAAGTGTATTCTCCATACGTCACAATGAACAGATGCTTCCTTACAGTGTTTTAACTCATTATTCATTGACTTCACGATCACTTGAATGGTATTTGGTAGAAAATTGTGGTTCACATTTTAAATGTTGACCTTCTTTATGGTACTGCCTTGAGATTCTAGGCAGTAACAGTGTGCCCACCCAGTGAGCTCAGCAATCATGAGATAAAATGACCAACAACCTACAGAGGACTGTATTGCTAGGCTACGATGTTCAGTAGGTTAGGTGCATTAAATGCTTTTCACCTTATGGTATTTTCAACACACACAAAGGCACACAACACCATTAAAGCTCACCTGCAAATAATTTATAGCCAGAGTGCTGGTTTGGGTCAGTTTTTCAAAAGGCTACAAATTCTTTTACACTCATCACTTGAGAGCTGAAATCCTGTTCCTGTCACACAGTTATTTCCAGCCTGTAATTCCTTGGACCTCTAGATCAGTGCTACATTGCTTTAAAGACTGGGTCACAAAGAGATGAGCAATGTTTCACTTAGTTTACTTGGAAAATTCACAGCTGGAGACTTGAACTGGTATAGCAGATCTGATGACCCTGCGACCACCATGCTGTCAGAAGCCAAGCTCCACAGGACTCACACACTGCAGTCCGCAGGCCTTATCTCTCAAGCGCCCCTGGCCAAAGCAAGCTCTGAAGAAAGACAGGCCCTCGGATGATTCCACCTTCCCAATACATTCACCTCCAAGCAAATACTTTCAGCAAAGTTCCTAGCTATGGTGGAGAAGAAATAAGCCATCGACAATATTGAACTTTATCAAAGTCCCAGGTTCTCAGAAGCCTGTAATATTTGAGAAATCCTCCAGACTTTTGTGTGCCAGAAAACAGACAAGCAGGAAGGGCCACTCTGCCCTGACATATTCTGAGATTGGACCTTATTGATCCTTCCTCATGATTCGCTAAATCCATCGGGTAGCTCCACTGTCTACCAGCCTCTGAAAGTCTATTTTCCTCAGTCTTCTCTCTGCCATGGTCCCAACGAGGGACAATATCAGAACAAAATCCTTTCCTTAATTGTCCAGTTATGTTTGGTCTTTTACACAGCCCTGTCCAAACTGCTGGCCCATGGAATCTGTGCCTAATGGGGATCATTTTAAGATTCAAAGCAGTTTCTTCTGACACAGAATAACCAGCACAGAGCTTGTAGTCTCTCCTTATGCCCCAGAATTAAAAACTCCACCAAGTCTATTGTAGACCTCATTCCTCTATTTATAGTCTCACAGGTACTTCTGGTTGTGTTTAATCTTCAGAATTATGGTTTGACATAATGTCAGCAAGAGTTTGTCTATCTCATTTAAAATTAGCACTCCTGTTTGATTTATCCTCTCCCTCTGAAATACCAATTATCTACATTATTCTTTCTCTTCACCATAAATCATCAGGATTTTATTATTTTTCTCTCTTTTCTTTACCACTGAATTCTAAAATATGTTCAAGCTTGTTCTCCATAATACTGGTTTAATTTCTGATAGGTTCAAATATAATTTTCAATGTTGATATTAAGTCTGATTATGGTTGCATTTTTTAAAAATTTCTTTTACTTTCCTTTGTCAAAAAAACATGCTTCTCAGCAGGCTACCATTTCATATCAAACATTCACCATATCTTATTAATTTCTCTTTGAATTTTTTACCTAGAACCTGTTTTTCTTTGAAATTTGTAGGAGCTCAATATGATGCATTCTTAAATTTGTTTTCTGCTGTGCCATTTTATATGTTAGGTATTTTAT